ATTTGAGAAATCATAGGAGACTATAAAAACTTAAATGAATTTAATTAAACATGGATCAAATCACCTTTCTGAAATGGAATTAAATTACATGAAGTTGGGCCTGTCCTCGGAAAGTCCAAGACATATGGCCACCAGACATCCTTCACTATTAGGAAGAATCCTAGAAGTCCACCCAAGTTCCTGCAGACCTTGAATAATCAATCTTTTATTAGAAAACACTGGCTCTGTGTGTCAGCTTTCTTCCTGCCCCTGCATCTACTGAAGTTAACTGTCTTGTGGCAGTAAATATTTTTTAAATGCATTAACTTTCAGAAAGGAATGAAGATCCTGACTCTGCCTGCTACCTAAAGCATTCAGTTGTCACTTTGAGTTATTACCTAGGGCATCTGCCCATGAAGCTAGCTGCTTTCTGATTAAACCACACCCTTCCTTCAACCAAGCACCTGGCAAACACTGTCATAAAATGTGTGCTATGTGAATAACTTCATCCAAGCACTTACTCGGCAGCTGGGCTGTGGGCCCTGGAGCTAAAAAGAGGCCTGAGACATGTGACCTAGGGTAGCTCGAAGGGAAACAGACAGGCAAGCTTGTCTTGAGGACTGGTGGACAGATGTGTGGACACAGGCGAGGTGAGGTGCTCTCTTGTAGTTATGAATGACATTTGGGGAGGGAAGGGTGGGCACAAAGCATCAGGAGCACCTGTTACCTTGCCAAGGAGGCTTCATGGAGAAGGTGACACTTCAGAGTACTCCTGAAGAAGGAATAGGAGTTTGCCAGCTGGAGAATAAGAAGGAAACACGCAGACTGGATAAAGGAAAGGTCCCAAAAGGACCTGCCTTTCATGCCTAAGAAACAGGGGAAGCTGAATGTGGCTGATATTTCAGAGGCTTTTGCGAATGGTGGTGGTGACAAGGTCACAGTGGCAGAAAGGCCACAGAATGTGAAGGGCCTTACCCCAACTTAAGGAATTTGAATTTCATCTTGCTGGTCATGGGAAGGTAATTCATTCATTTTTGTTTTCAAAAATGAACTTATTCATTTTTGGATTTTTATTCATTTTTGTTTATAAATGGCATAGTCAAGCTGCAATTTAAGTAGGATCACCTTGTTTTCAAGGAGTTAGATAGGGGAGAGGCTAGAGAAGTCCTCTGTAGGACATGCTCTGGCAGGATGCCAGCATCTCCAGGCTCTGCACAGGCTGCTTGGCCAGGCCCTACCCCTCCTGTCACCCAATCTCTTTTCAAGCCCCCCCAACACACACCCCACACATACCTCCTCCGGTGCTCTTCCCTTCTTCATTTTCTTTCTTTAAGCTACCATGGGCTTTCCTTGTCCTTGCCTGTTTCTCACAACCACCTTATCCTGTCTCTTCATAGACATGCTCCCCTGGAGTCCCTGCTCACTCGTGTATTTGGTCACTGCACCCAGTTAGAATGTGCACCCCCATGGGGTGGTGGTCTTGTCTGTCATGTTCACTGCTGTATCTCTGGGACCTAGAATAGTGTCTGGCACTCAGCAGGTATTCAATAAAGTTTTGTTGAATGAATTAATAAAGAAATGAATTGGAAAGCATTGCAATAGTAATAGTCCAAGGCCAGAAATGATGAAAGACAAAGCTAGGGGAATGAAGATGAGATCAAAGGGGAAAAAGGTTGTTTGTCAGCAATCAATTTTTTCTGTGGGGACACAGAAAAAAGAAAAAAATCTTGGATGATTTCATGTTTTCAACTTTAGAAACTCTGCTGCTGATAAAGATGGAGAAATGAAGAAAATTGTGCATGATTTTTGTTTTCGTCATGGGAGGAAAATAAGGGGTTCAGTTAGGGCTGGTTGTATTTCATATGTGGCTAGGTCAGACATAGTCAGAGGTACCCTGGTACCTTTTACATCCCTTTGTGCAATCACATGTAGCTCCTTGGGGAGTTAGCTACCTACTTACTTTAGACTGCACAATGGAGGTTCTTTGGGGACAGGGACAAATCTTTTACTTGTGTTTCAACAGAGTATGTGACATACAGTGGTTCCCAAATAAGATTTTGCTGATATAAAGTTTGAAAATAGACAAAGTTAACATATTGTTTAGAGATAGTCTGGGAATAAGGAGCTAAAGCATCTGCCTTGTGATCCTTTCACTCCTTTTATAAGGAAAGATGTTTCTAGTGAAAGGATGACACTAGGCAATGACCAGTCTAGTCTACCATATGTATGCTAATAACTTAACTTATTATAAATAAGTTAACTTATGATAAATAGACTAAGGATATTTGCTGACAGGTCTTATTTCTGGAATGCTCTTAGCAAGATGTCCCCATCTAAGGATTACTTATAGTAAATAAACCGAGAACTTATATATTTATGAGCTGTGGCTCTCTGAGCTGTGAAGTAGAGATATTTTATAACTGAATTTTCCTCTGTAGGTGAGGTGATCTGTGAGCCTCACTTAGAGCCCTGTCTATTGTTCTGTGTCAGAAAGCACATGTCTGATGCAAGAGGAAAGGACCTGGGGAGTCATGTGAGATGTCCCAGTCCTCTCCCTGCCTCACTTATACTTCAATAGCCTGTATTCTTAAAATTATCAGTGCAGGTAGATACTGGGCCGGAACTCTGATTGTCAGTTCTTATTTGGTAAGTTGATCCCTTGGGTTGGTTCACATAATAAGCTGTTTTTAGGTAAAATTATAAAGAAAAGCAAGAGAATTCAGAAAGTAGGGCTAGTGGAACGACATCAGAGGGGCTTCCAAGTCTACTTCCAAGTGGTCATCTTCCAACTCTTAAGGCTAGTTTTATTTTCTTTAAATGATGTATATATCCTACATTTGTGATATGCTGCATCTTAAACAAATACAATTTGACAAAAGATGGGGAATACAAAGTAACTTTGAAAACTCTGGCCTAGAGTGAAAGAGTGAGATGGGAAAGTCACCTGACAGGCTGGAGCTAAAGTGTGCCTCAAACAGGAAGAAGTTTCTAGTGTCCTGGAGTAGATATCCAGGCAACTCTTCACTACCCTCTCTTAGTTGGTTCATGAATGGACAATCATACTGTCTTTTAGGTATACAATGACCTTACAGAATCTAAAGCTGTGACCGTCTATGCCTAGAGCAGCAGAGTCTCAGAGATGGAACCTGTGATCAGGGTGAAGAAGGGCAAGGAGAGAGCATTATCTGTGATCGCAAGAAAACCATTTTCAACTTTCATGTAAGTCAACAGTCTCAGCTCTCTTCCCTCTACAACTTTAGTATTCTTACTTTCTTTTTTTATCCTGATTTTAAGAGCTGTGAGAACCTACTCCTCCCCTACTCACTGGCTTCTCATTGCCATGGGTCAGTAATAGTGAAGAAGAAACCTCAGCATAACTGAAGGAGAAGATGCCTAGAGCAGGGGCTCAAAGAGTTGGTCAGATGGGCAGGTGTGGGAAGCTCTCTGCTCTGCCAGCAAATATCTGGGTCTAGTTTCATCTCTCTCAAGATTATGTAGAGATAATTCTGTTTTATTCGCACCTAGTCACTTATTATGACAGTAATTTACAGGAAACAGTAAGTAACATTTCACCCTATTTCTTCTCAGTAAAGATAATAGAATTATCATACTAAGAAATCTCTCCCCTACAGTTAAAGCTGTGCATAAAAATTATAAATGTAGATCTTCATAACAGCAAAAAATGTAGAAGTAACATAAATCTGAAACAAACAGGGAATTGGCTATATGTGTTGTAGCATTTTTTCAAGTTGGTGGGCTAAGATGCGTAACACCAGCAGAACCAGCATCACTGGGTTGTGACCTGTGCAGCTGCACAAAGCCCACGCTCAGAAGAGACCTGTGATGGACAGGATAATCATAATCTTCTATTGCTGTCTTGAACTCATTAATTTTATCTGCTCATTTGTGTTGTATGAGTGGAATCGATGGCACCATGGAGCATTTGCACGAGGGAGCAGTTAGGTGCAATACATGTTTGCTATTCCTGCTGCTCATGTGCACAGGACTGAGGCAGACCCTTGGTATGTGGGAATTAGTGAGATCCACAACTAAGATAGCAGGGGTATCAACAGCTCTGAGAGCCATGCTTCCATTTAACCATATCTGAAGGTGAATGCAGAAAGATGACAACCCAAGGAACCCTAGCATGTCTTTCTTGCTATGTTACTTTCTTGTATTAGCCAACTACCTCTGCTGAGCCGATTACATAGAAAAAAATGAAAAGACAGGGCAGCCCACCATTTCTTGTTCTTTCAGTAAGTTGAAGGAAGAGTGTTGACAGAATGTGCACATATCAAGAAGTAAAATAAAAACTTCTGAGTTAATTTTATACAGAGTTACCACTGTTCTGATAAGAATGAAATATATGTGCAGGTAGAAGCTACCAAATATGAATTGAAAGATTTTGCACACAGGTTAAATACTCTTATATTTGCACCTTAATCTGATATTGCAAAATATAAAGATGAATAGGAAAATGCATGGTAATAATTTTAAATTTTAGTTTTTCTTTCCTTGTGATGTAACATAGCAAAGCAAAACAAAACCCCAAACCAGACACTGTAACAAGGCTAGAGAGACCACAGAAGAAACTAAAAAGTTGTTCAGTATCTTTAAAAGCGCTTTCCCCACTGATGGCCCTGAATTTCTGCTTTGCATCGGTCCCTACAAATTGTGCAGCTGGATCTTTCCCTCTGTCTCCTCCTCCCTTCCTTCCCTTTAGTAAAGATGCTACTGACAGAAGGCACGCTCTTCAAAACAAAATTGCTCCACCCCACATCAAAGGTTCTTAAACTTGAGTATGCATCAATGTCTCCTGTCAAAGTATAGACTGCTGAGTCCCACCCTCAGGGTTTCTGATTCAGGAAGTGGGGGAAGGACTGAGAATTTGCATTTCTAGCAAATTCCCCTGTGGGAGCTTGTGGGACACACTCAGAACCCCTGGTCTAGAGTACACATGATGCCAGCCTTAGACATTTGCTGAAGCTGTATGATGTCTTGGGAAAGTCATGTTCTGTTACCTCATAAATGTTAAATTGCTCCACTAAGTCCAGGTCAGTCCCTTTCTTGTTCAAGTGCCTCTGGGACACAGCAGCGATGCCCAGCTCCTCCAGACAGTCCACCACGTCGTAGAAGGAATCTTGGTCTGGCAACCCTGACAATGTCTAGAAGAGAAGAACCAGATATAGATACATCTTAGGGGACTGTCACAAGGCTCTGAAGGCATTTTTGCGTGGTAGCAGGGGCCTCGATTATAATACTGGGGAACAATGCAAAAGAAATAGAAAATTCATTTGAAATTAAAACCCTCCTTAGTGCAGTAGGCAGAATGAACTCCAACATTCTCTTCCATGTTCATGTGTTATGTGATTCCCTCCACTTGAGTGTGTGCTGGATACTACCATGGGTGGAATATCACACCCATGGTTAGGTTACATTTTGTGGCAAAAATGAAGGAATTTTGCATGTTATTAAAATGGCAATCATTTTATTTCAAATTGTCCTGGGTAAGAATTGGGGGAGTTCTTTGGAAGAGGATTTAAGCTTTCCCTGACCTTAGAGATTGGAAAGAGCTTATCATGCTGGCCTCAAAGAAGGAGTAAGACACCATGAGTTCTACAACTCTAAGGAAATGAATTCTGCCAAAAACTGTGCATGCCTGGAAGAGGACTCCAAGTTTCAGAGGGGACTTCATGCCGCTCAATGCCTTGTACAGCCTTGTGAGACCTGGAGCAGTCCAACCAGTTGGCTGTGTCTGGACTCCTGTCCCTAGAAACTGTGAGATCAGAAGTACTCATTATTCTAAGTTGTTAAACTTGTGGTAATCTGTCACATGGCAATTTCATGATTACTTCATGATTAGAAACTCCTATTATGATCAATATGGCAACAGCTGGAGGATAATAATTTAATTCTATTTTATTTACATTCAGTAGGTCCTCCCTCCCCTTGGTCTATGAAATTAAGGGAAACATGAAAAATGCAAAGCAGCAACAAAGACACAAAAAGATAACCCAAGGCAAAAAATGGCTGACTTCTCTTACTCATGTATTCTACACAAGTTGTTCTGGCCTACAATCCAAGGCATTGCTCTTCATTCCTATATTATTACAACCTTTGCATTTTTAAGAACACTAAATACATTTTTAAATTATTTTAAACATGCTGACTTGCCTCAAGAGACTTTAGACCAATACTTCCATAAAGAACATCTCACAGCCCCAACTGCTCTCACATTTCTATTTTAGGGTGATCAATATTAGAAGGAATACCTCTATTTACAATCCAAATAAAGGCTTTTAACTTCTTATGCTGAACAAAGAGGACACAACTCAACTGTGATTGAGATCGGAAACTAATAAAAAAAACTATCATATGATAGCTTTATCACTGAGGGGCCCCCATAGGGACATAAAACAAAAGGCTGCAAATCAGAAGCTGTAATAAATAGACACTCACACATGTGGCCATGTGTGAAAGCACATGCCAGTATCTGCTGACACCATGGTGGCACTCAACACAGCATCACCAGGCAACTACCACCACTGAGTCAATTGGAAAATCATGCACTCATTCAAAGAATCCTACCATCAAGATCGCCTCCTTTGGTTTTGATAAAAATTCTAGAAAAGAAGAAGGACGTACTAGGCCTGACCAGAGAGTACTAGTGGAGCTCCCTGATTGCTTGCGAACTGTGCCACCTGCACAACTAGAGGAAGCAGGGAAATGGACATTTAGTATTAAATTAAAACTTTCTGCACAGCAGTGAGGAGACAGCAGGCAGCACAGAGACTGTCTCTGGTCATCCCTTATCCTCTCCACTCTCCTTCCTCCTCCTTTCCCTTCTCCCCACCTGGAGTCTACTGAAGTTCTTTCACTCAGAATTGTCCAGAATGTTAAAATCCTGGACTTAATTCTCATCACTTCAATGAGTTCAACCACAAAGGATGCGGCAGGGGGCACTAATACATAACTGAACAACTATATGTTAAACAGCTATAGAACTAAACAGAATCAGAGAGCCCTTGTTTAATAATAGGCTCAGAACCGAAGGTGCTAAGAGGCCATTTCCACTGTGAAAACTTGAGGTGGAGGCCCGTCTGTGCACCTATAGCTTTCATATATGGTCACAGGGAAGAAAACGGCCTTCCCTCATAAACAAACACAGCTTTATGTGCCTGTGCAAGAGGAAGGCACATGCTACACACACATATTTGCCTATTTTGGCTGTTCAAGTAATTTCACCTCAGTCCCACCTATCCCTGGGCCTCTCCACCCAGTTCTTTCCTGTCACCTCACTGCTAAGTTGCCTGTGTCTGGCAAAGGTGGCAGCTCTGCAGAAAAGTCTACAGAGCAAATGTTTTTTGATGTCTTTAGCCTGAGATGCTGTAGATGTCACCCAATTGCCTGTCACCTGGCATTTCCCCCTCCCATTTTTCTCCCAGGCTTTGTGTTCACAAGGCCTATGACAAGTATTTCTTTACAGGCACCTCTTAGACAGGAAACTCTACCCTAACCAACATTTTTCCCCATCCTGGATTTTCACTGATTCTGTCAAATTTGGTTTGTAGGATAAAGGCCCTTGTTTTGCCATGAAAATGCCACACATATTCTTAACATATTCAAGGTAGCATCATTTTTGCCCTATTTCTAATTTGTCATTTACCTTTAGCTATAATTTGTGATTTTCATTTTACAAACAAAGCCATTCATAATTTAATGCAGTGACATATTTTTAAATCCCTTCCTTTGGAATCTTTCTCACTGGTTTTATTATTAAAATGAGCTTTGTGAAAGTCATCTGTACCAAAATGGAGTTATGTCAAGCAAAGTGGAAGAGGAAGACCACAATGAATAGGTCTCATGCACATATGGCTATGTTAAGATCTACCCAAGGAATTCCTGGAAACCACAGGATTCCAGATAAGCTGTTAGTGTAAGGGCATTTGCCTAACAGCAGGTGTCTCCACCAAAGAACTAACTTCAACTCCTGCCAAAGCCCTACTAACTAGTGGTCTTTATTTCAAAACAGCTTATCTGAACTTCTACCTTTTCTCCTAAAAGCTTCCCTTTGCTCAGCCTCTTCAAAAGTGCATGTGGCCTGTCATTGCACATTGATCCCCAGTTGCAATCCCTTGTTCTTCTCAAACTCCTTGTTTTGTAGTCAGGTTCTTGGTCATTCTATTTAAATAGGCACTTTTATGAATGAGAGACCAATACCATCTTCATTTATTTCTACATTTTTTTCTACAGTTTGATGAATTGCATTGAAGTCTTTAACCTGTTTGGAATTTATTGTGATGTGAGGTCAAAGGAGATTTTTGTTTATTTCCATTTAGTAACACCTCCTCCAGTTATGGATGACGTTAACCTGTCTCAATTGATGACAACTGAATGGCAGGTTGTTCTGAACACTGGGCCTGTTTCTGGGCTCCTTTGTGCTAGTCATAAGCCTGCTGAGGAGAGAGCAGACCATGATGTTTTAAAACTTAACATGGGTGTAACATTTTACTATTGAGTAGGAGTATAAGAGCTACTTACACTGCTTTTGCTGAAAAGCACTGACTCCTTACTTGGGCCCTCAAATTAACTAAAACATGAGAAAAGTGTGGCATCTCTGTCTCCACTTTGCAGCTACTGTCCTTTGCTCTGAGCCATTCTCTCCTGCAATCACCTTGGAATCAAGGAAGGACAGGAATGATGGATAACATCTTTAAGACAAGGAACTGAAACTACCACCAAAGAATAGCTGAGCCTTGCAAGGCAGACCACCCCCAAATGAGGGCATTTACCTATAATGATGAGGCTGCACCCTAGAGTAGGAGTAACCATCTCAGGGGAACCAGACTGCTCCCCTCAAGTGATGACAGCAAGAACAACTTCTCCAGAACCTTTCTGGAACCCTCAGACTGAGATAATATCAACCAGGACACACCTGTGACTGGAATGTTTAATTATGCACACCTTTGTCCCCTGCCCCCAGTTCTTTCATCTACTTAAACCTATAGCTCATGTCTGTACCCTGAAGATAGCTGAAGATGGGCTGAGTGCTTACTCTGTCTCTTCCCATTGTGTGTCTGGGGTGTGTAATAAAGCTCCTTTCTCTGCCCCTTATCATGCTTCTTCATTTGGCCTATAGGGACAAGTGGCTGGACCAGGCATGTGGAATCCCAGGAGTCTGGGACTTGGGTCCAAAACTCTGGTTTCCGAAGTCACATCTTTTATTTAAACTGATTTCTACAATTTGTCTTCAGTTCATTAGGAGAAACATCTAATCCAGTTATATTCCAGGAAGGGATTCTGGATCTTTCTGAAGCCTTAGTCATCACTGCAGTTGTTTCTGAGGGCCCACACTCAACAGCCTAGAAAGTATAAGGAAGATCCACAAGGTGGTTGATATGATGCCTGTGGCCTAGGATGGGGCAATCTCAACAGAGGGACTCCACTCCCAAGAGGCCTGTCCCAGGTCATCATGGGACCACTGCCTCAAAGCAGTACCTCTGGAGATAGGCATGAAGGCTGCTGTTGCCCTTCAAGATGGTGACCAGGGAGAGACATATGAAGGGAAGAATAGGAGCACAAAGGTGTGGTCACCATTATACATGGAGGACAGGATCCATCCCCAGGAATCCTTACCTCAGCCCAGGAATCAGAGTTCCCAGTGGAACAAGAGGGTCCCATTTTCTCCTGACCTGTGAACTAGTAGATTTACTAGTTCTTTTTCTTATGGAAAAATATCTTTAAGGGTATATCTTGATAAGAAAAGCAGTCATGAAATTCTTACTGTCATCTTTCTAGTTTTACTATATAAAACCAAAGCTTAAAAGTCTGTATACATCCACGGTATGAGAACAGGTACATGCACCTGTGCACACACACATCATTTTCTACAGGGAAGAAATACGCTGCAACTGAGGTTCCAGCCACCGTGGTAGGGAGGGTTTATGTGGGAAAAAATTAGATTTTCACATTGTATTAGTTTCCCAGGGCTGGCATAACAAGGTTCCATGAGCCAGGTGCCTTAAAACAACAGAAATTTAGACATCTGAGATCAAGGTATCAGCAGGGCTGTACTTTCTCTAAGGCTCTAAGGGAAGATCCTTCCTTGCCTCTTCCTAGATTGGCTGCTGGCCATCCTTAGCATTCCTTGGTTCATACATGCATCCTTCTAATCTCTGCCTCTGTCTCCACGTGGCTGTCTTCCTTTTGCACATGTGTTCATACTGTCTTTCCTTGTCTGTGTCTCTTTTCCTCTTCTTACAAGGTCTTGGTCATATCAGATTAGAGTCTACCCTAATGACCTCCTCTTGACTGAATTACATTTCCAAAGATTCTTTCCAAATAAGGTCACATTCACAGGTAGCAGGGGTTAGGACTTCACTTATCTTTTGGGGTGACAATTTAACCCATAATACACATCAACCCACCTTGTTCACTAAAGTCATTGCATAAACCAGCAGCTCTGTGTCAACTCCATCTTTTTCCTCCAGGATTTCCATGATATTGGACCAGGGTTTGATGCCTATGAGGAAGCAAAAGTCTTTAGAAACGAGAACTCAATACACTCCTTATCCAAACCACATGGTTATTTATCCAAGGGTTTATCCCTCAGTGATGACAGTGTCCTTTCAGTCACCATATTTCTATATGGGTTAATACCTTTAGGGTGGACTTGAGCATGCACCTAATGAAGAATCTTTCCTAGCAGGCAACACTATACGACATATCTCAGTCCTGTGCTATACCAAAACGCTCTTCTGAAAGTTACTATATGTTATATATAATCTTCACAGATGCTGTATGTGCTCCAGATTGAGGATGCCTATCTATTTGCTTAAAAATCTCTTTTATACTAAACCTGTATTTCAAGAAATCCTTTTGTGTGCAATCTTTTGGGCCACACACTTCACTCATAGGTATTCTGCAGATGTCCATCAGCACACAGGAAAAGGGATGTGCAGGCTCATTATTCCCTCTAGCAGTGACCCCAAGCAATAATGGTAACACCCTATATAGCAAACATCTCAAGAATAGAAGAGTATTACTTCTGACAAGGCACAAATACTGTCTAAGCTCAGCTAGGGCTGAGGTGTGGGGGGTGGCTGCTCTTGACAGGTTTGGGATCTAACAGAACACTTAGACATAAGCACAAAGGAAGACCTCAGCACAGAATCAATGGTTGAGAAGTTGCAGAATGTTTAGCTGAGTCTGTCATTCAGTGACTTGCAGTGGGGATGACTGTAGAAGGCTTAGGACAAAAGCTGGCTCTCTGCAGGTCATTCTCCCCAGGCTCAAGGAAGGGGCTGGAAAAAGCTTCCCATTTAAGACTACTAAGCCAAGTCCAGGCTCCAAAGGGGGAGACAATCCCCTGACATGGTTTCCATGCCTGAGATAAATGTCTGAAGTCATGAGTAACCATGGCTTTGCCCTTGGCTCAGTGACTTGGAACATGAAGCTCTTTCCTACTTTCTATATGCATATCTCCAGGTAATACTGCTTATTTTAGCCTGATAAGAATAAATTTGGAAATGAGCTAAGCATAGTCGTTTTCAAGTCCTTGACTTTGGGTAGGTTATGTCAATGCTGTTGCTGGCCTTGAAATAAAAGTTCTCCAAGGACAGAGACAGTATTTTCTTACTCATCTATGCTAGCAACACAGCGGCTGGTTTGTTGAATGAGCTCAATAAAACGTATGAATATTAATGGTGATCTCTGAGAGGACATGAAGTGGGTTAAGCTGGAGCAGCTTTAAAAGAACCAGAGGGCAGATACACACAGTAAGAAAAGGAGAGAAGACAGGAAGATTAAAGAATAGGCACTGTCTGTACAATATGAAAATCATGAATGTAGTTTCATATAGTGATCAAGAAGCTCTACCAACCCAACAAGTGAACAGAGAGTTTCACCCTTTTGGCTGAGTTGCCCAGTCACTGAGAATTGGGCAACCTCCCCTGACCCTTCCTAACTTGGAATTCAAGGGCATGCCCTTCCCCTGCTAACTGCTGAATACCTCCTAGCTGATATTTATTATCAGAGTCCTTTGAAGTCCCCTCCACAGTGTAATTGTTATTTGAACCCTACCTAGCAAAGTAGCCATTTCAGTCCTCAAGATAATCAACTGATGTAGTCAGAAGACCTGGGTCTCACTGTCCAGGTGCAGTTCAAGAGCTCAGGGAACCTCTGTCTGTGTTTATAATGGGCAGCTTCTGACATTCACATACCAAACCTCGGCATCAAACATGTGTACTAGAGTTACCAGCATAAGGTCAAAGGAAACACCAGGCAGGGGAAGAAAGTATTGATGCCAAGCATTCCCAATGGTGCTAGTGGGCCCACCTAGCAACTGCTGCCCGGTAGCTTATTTTGAAGCAGAATAAAACAAAAACAACAACAACAACAACAAAATAGGGCCCAAGGAAGAAAAAAAAAAAAAACAAGAGGCAGAGGGAGGCAGCCCAGAGAAGGAAGTAGCCAGACTACATCTTCTCTTGCTTACAGATGCAAGCACATGTGTACACCATCTAATCCATTATAATTAAAACACTCAAACATTGGCTTAGTTTAACTGAAAAATGTGTTGTTCAGTTGTGATATCTGATTGCCTTATTATCATTTAAGGATTTTTATGTCTAGAAACATGCAAATCTGTACACACTGCCAGGATGAATGTTTATCCTTCTTTGTTTCAGGACCAGAAAACTGGAAATATTTAGAAGAATAAAGGAGAGGAAAAGTAAACACTGGATTTAACACAAACAGCTTTGGTGGGAGCTCAGGAAAGACCTGTGTTGAATGTGAGCACTTGCATCTTTGCTAGGACCTGCCTCCTGTTAGAGCCAAGTGGCCCAGCTCACTCCCACCACCCCCGCTAACTCCTGTGTGTGTGTCTGTGTGTGTGTGTGTATGTTGAAGAGAGGATGCTCTTGTACTAGAATCATAAACCATATGACCCCATCCCTTCACATAATAAACTGAGCCCCAAAGCAGTGGAATGAAAGAGGGTCAGAGGATCACCTATAAACTTGGGTGCTTTTGCCTCCCTTTAGGATTACTGTAAGGTGTCACTGAGATAAAGCACTTTATCTTTCTTGCTTAGCACTGATGGAGTACACTGGAAGATATGCTCAGTCATTATCTGTCTCTCTCCAATTCCACTTGCCACCAAGCCAGTTCCTCAGACACTGGAGTACGAGCTCTGTAAAAGCTTGCTGTTTTCTGATGTTTGCAAACACATAGTTGACACTTGAGTACTTGCTGAATAAATGAATGATATATGAATAATGCTTAGCACCATGTCTGTTAAGCCATAGGCACTCAAACTTCAGGAGCTGTAATTACAATGGTGGTGACTGGTAGTAACACCAGTACACCCTTTGAACACAAGCACCCAGGCCAGTCTTCCCATCACCAAACTACAGTGCTTCTCTCTTCACCCAGAATAACTATGCACAGAGTAAGTGCCTGGAGATGTTTTCTCCCTCTCATTCTCTTGCTAGGTCCCCACATTAAGCCTAAAGCAAACTAGGCCAGTTAACAGAATGCTTCATAGTCACTTAATTGCTTAATAACACATCAACACACTCCACATTGATATTTCTGCAGTAAAGGACAGCAGAGGTGAGCTGAAGGCATGGCCCAAGTGGTAAAGCACTGCCTACCAAGTGCAAAGCCCTGAGTTCAAACCCTAATACCACCAAAATAATAATAATAATAATAATAATAATAGCAATAACAACAACCGCTTCCACCAGGCTTTGTGCATTCTTCACTGATTAATATATTCTTAAGCAGAATCAGAGAGAGGTTTGCTTGAAAGGATGGCTAGACCTTTTTTCCCCTGCTTAGAAATTATGTCATCTCTCATCACTTTACATTCAAATGAAAAATAAAATTTCTTCAAAAGCTGCACTGAGCCAAATTAATGGAACCCAAGATTTATGACTGAAACTTAAAATGAGTTATCCTGTCTGGTCTCTTGCCATACCTTTGTGAGAGAGGCAAACCACACAGTCAGAGAGAAGGTCCCTTGGCCCAGGGAGAGACAGGCTCTCAGTCAGCATCTTACCAACCACTACAGGGCAGACCTCAAAGGAAGGGAGTAATTGACAGCACAAAGCTCTCCCAAGGGCTTCCATGAGCTCTGCTGTCTTTCTATTTTTCTACCAGGCCTAGTCCTCCAGAAAAGGAAATGACTTGAAGCTGTAAGCAGGAAAGAAGATCAAGCAGTTTGAGCAGACAGGTGCTATTCTATGCCATCCTCACACACTAACTCAAAACTACCTCTTCATTCCAGCCCCTAACTAGAATCGTCTAGATCAAGTGGGGCATTTTAAAATGTCACATATTCATAAATACTGCACACTACTTATGATGGACTTCACCCTTCAGTTCTCATCCCTGCTCTGTAAGTGGTCCATTCTGGGCCACAGAGCAAAGGGCCCACACTGCAAAATGAACCCTTCTGGTTAGTCCAGGGGTGGCCATGCATGATGTTAACAAAGCAACCAGAGGAACTTGCTCTCAGACGACTCATTTGCTTTAGGTAGTAATGATTTTTGAGGACTTATACTTTATTATGGTGCTTTTATTTGCTGATTCCTTAAATCTGACAGTTTTTCTCTCTATAAAAAAAAGAAAGACAACTGTCTACATTTTAATGCGCCAGACACCCCTGCCAAGGAATGAGTCTGAAGCCACTTTGTGGAGTAAAATTTACAACTTCTTTGCAAACATGCACACACATGGATGTGCTCAGTTCGCTGTCAATCATCACCAGCAGCTGGGGCTGCTCTCTGGCCCAGCTGAGAGGGAACTGAAGACCTGCTTCAAACACCCTAGGTAGAAACACACCTGAAAGTCACGTTGCTCTCTGCAGAACACCATGACATATTTGTATGTTTAATTCCATCACAGGATTCTGGAACAATTTTACTAGCAGTAAAACTGGATGATGTTATATGTATGTTTTATAAAACCACAGCCAAGACCACACATGTCATAAAGAAACATACTATTGAACCATGAGTGATAAGCTATTTCTGAGTTTTTCCATTAGTGCTATTACTTTCTTTTAACCTGGCAGTGCTCAGTAGCAGACACATGGTAGCACTTGCCCACTGTTTAAGAAATTTTATAGGGCAAGAGCCATGAGACTAAGAAAGCAATGTAGAGGATGTTCTGTTTTTTTTTTTTTTAATTTTTTACTAATTGAGAAAAAGATGTCCATCATTCTGTCTTGGTGGAGAGAATATATGGTAGAGTGCCTCTGGCAGCGAGCTGTGGAGGAGTCTTGGATGTGAGGTCCAAAGTCCAGAGTTTATCTCAAGGTCATTACCCCCAAATAACATGCCCTTCATAAAATATGAAATTCAAAGAAGGAAACTCTGAGCTTCCAATTCAACAAAGACAAAGGAGACTGTCAAGGGCATGAGATGGGTGCCCCTTAACACGGCCCCCATGACAAGGGCTCTTGGGTTACAGAAAATTCAGAAAAGGATGACAAAGAGTCCATCAATTGCTCCAAAGTAACCCCAGAGTTGGGAGATGGAGTAAAATTCCTGTAAGGATGAATGAAAGTTGCTGCTTACCATCCTCCAAAATACCTACCTTTGGCCTTAAACCTAATTACTTTGTTGTGGAAACACCAAACATGTTTCTGAGCCATTGGCTGGCCTTATAATCCTGGCTTTTAGCCATAAGCCTCTTTCTATCTGCACTAGATGGTAACAGACTGTGGTAGAGAAAAACTTGTCCTGATCTGAGCAAGTCCTGGTCCATCTGTCAGACTCACGGTCCCTGACCATGCACTAGACTTTCTCTCCTTCACAGGCCCAGCCCCTCCTTTCCACAGAGGCCTAGAACTGCCTCCTGGCTTGGATCTGTTATCAAGCAAAGGTACAGGAGCCCAGATATAGTCCAGGATGTCTTTCCTTAGCTTGCATTCAAACTTTCATAAAACTAGCATGATACCTTCCTTCACATTTGTACTCCAGTTTAGAAAGGGGTGCTGTCAGCAATGCTGAGTCAGACACAACTTGTTTGAATCAAAACTGCCATTTATTTCCCTGTTTTCTACCTGACAATCACATGTACACAGATTTGTTAACCAACAAGTTAACAGCTATTATTTTTATCTTTGTGAAGATAAGTAGCAATTTCTGATAGTGTTCTTTATATGGGTTTTTTGAAATTTCCTAAAGGACTCTCTTTATTCCAATCATCAAAAGAAAACATAAATCAAGATTATTTTCTTCCTTATTTGAGCCTTTGTGGGAATGATGATAATAATAATTGGATTCTATTGGGATGGAAAGCAAAAGACAAAACAGAAACTCCCCCACTTCACACTATTATAGGAGCCACAGTACATTACACACAAACCCAGGTCCAGAGTCTGCTCTTCCATGTGTGTGTGGCACGCCTCCCTGCTTGGGGCAGCTGGATGCTGAGACACCAACTACAAGGCAGAGACCCTGCCCAAGAGCAGGGCACACCCTCGCAGAGAGAGAGACAGGCAGTGATGACAACAAAACAGAGAGGAAAGACACATGGGGACTCTGTGAGCACATGAGTAAGGAAGGGGTGGTGCAGGCCAGAAGGGCGTCAGGGATAGCATGTGGTCCTATAAGTCAGGAGAAGGGTTAAGATGGACATCATGCTGTAGAGATGGTAAGTCACTGGCAGGTTTTATGGTGAAAGATATGATCACATTTATACTTTAGAAGAATCTTCCAACTTCAGTTTGGGATGGCAAGAGACACCAGGTAAGAGGTGGGAGAGCCCTGAGTAAGGGAGGGCGTGGATAGAGGCAAGGAAGGGACAGAGTTCAAGAAACACCTGTGAGTCAGAATCAATGAAGTGCGATTGAGGGAGGGCAAGGGAGGGGAAGGAGGAGACAAAGCAACCTGGACCAGATGGGGAGAACAGAAGGAGGAGGTGGGCCTCTGTGGTTTCAGTGGTGGGGGCAGGGTGAAGGACAAATACAAGTGTCTGCCCCTTCTTGGGTATGTCCAGGAATTGTCATGCCACATTCCGACCCTGATTTTTGTATACTTACTATCCTACGAGATGTTTCCTGCAGGCAGATGTCCACGCACAGGCCAATTTTGTTCTTTCTTCATTCTGTTTCAAAGACATAAGATGGGGGAGCCTCCCTAGCTCAGTGGATGTAGGGAGTGGGGACCACTCACCTCTTTTGGTGTCAACAACAGAGACAGCCTGAATAAGAAGAGGTGCATTTGACTCCGAGTACTCCACAAAGACGAGCAGCAGTTTCAGAGCTGTCTTCACCACCAGGCGGAACTGAAGGAAAGACAAAACCATCATGAAGCTGCAGACATGGTAGGGTGGGGGGACCTCAGTGCTCCTCTCAGTGATTACATAGGTTCCCTCACTAGATTCTCACTATCCCCTTGTTAGATGTCTCAGTAGGCAGGTATTAGTGTTTTCCCCATTGTGCAGATCAGGAAACTCAGGCACAAAGTACCCTGTCCACAGTCACACAGCAAGTACAAAACCAAACCCAAATTTGAATGCAGGCATTTGGCCCCAGAGCTCACACCTGGCAGGCTCCCAACGAACGAGGCAGTGTGTGTGGAGTTGATTACTTCACTTTATTGCAATCACCTGTGCGATGAGCACAGTCACAGTTCTTATTTGTCGTAAGGAAGTGGCACAGCAGGTTAGAGGACTTGCCCTAAGTCCTAACAGCGAGCTCAAGTAAGCAGGAATCGGAGCCAAGCCCTCCATTCTTAAAAGCAGAGAAGGCTGCTTGGAGTCTTGGAACTTATCCCCTCCGGGCCTAGGGCTCAGAATTCATGAGCATCCCAGAAGCCTTCCTTCCCACAGGTAAAACACCCTCAGCGAAGCCATAAGGAGAACCTCACATTTCCCAGTGGAAGCTGACATAGATTCTTAGGTCCAGCTCCTCCAGCCCTGGGGTTGGAGGATTCCTCCATCCGGTACATACTGCTGCAACCCTTTGCCTGCAGTCTCCCTTCAAAGAACCTCTTCTACAAGGAACTCACACAGAACTGCCTCCTGGAAAAGTATCAAAATTCTGCTGGCCTTGGGATGTATGTTGTGGGTGCCCACCCCAGAGGCAGCAAACCCTTTCAAGGGGAAAGGGACTTGTTGCGTCCTATCTCCAAGGCCTAGAACTGCACTTGGCCCAGAGTGGGCTCAGGGCTGTTTAACTAACTACATCCATCAATCAATGGCCAGGTCAGACAATTGTGATCCCTTACCCACCCCCGAGTTCACATCACAGGGTTAGGATCATGTGAAGTCTTTACTGGTAACATGAAGGGAGCCTAAGCAGAGGACTGCATCCTGCAGTCCACAGAGAATAGCTTAAAATAACCACCCATCCCAAGTCATTTCTCCAAAAATCACACCATCCCTATCTCCCCTTGTCCTTTTCTTTGCTGTCATACTTACCTAGCAAACCACCCCTCTTGTCTTTGGTGGCACAACTCTCTCCAGCCAGCACCCTTCTTCTCAGCTCCCCTTTAGAGAAAAACTCTCCAAAGAGTTACACAGCCTGACTCCACTTCCTAACTTCCCATGGACTCCCCAACTCAATCTGATAGGACATCACCACCACCACTCAATTTACCCATCAGGATCAACAGTGGCCTCCATGTTGTCAAATCCAGTGGTCCCTTCCTTCAAGATCTGTCTTGACCCACCCTCCCTCCACCTCCTTCTCTTTCTCCACCCAAGTGCACTCAGCAGCCTCCTAAGTCTCCCTTGCTTTGTGCCCCTTACATCCATTCTCTGAAGTGCAGCTTGGTCATGATTTGGGGCCTTTTTACCGGCTCATCTCTCTACCTTTATCTCAACTCTCAGCAGCATGTGATACATTAACTATTCTCTCTCAAAATAATTTCCTCTCAGTCTGGGTAGCTGGTCTCCTTCCTGAGTGACCACCTTTTCACTGGCTCCTACCATGTTTGATCTCTGGGCTCAGGAGGACCTCAGAGTTCCCTAGTGTGCTCTCATTCTTTCTCTTTCCACAGGCTTTCTCCAGGCAATTTCTTCCAGTCCTTCTAACACCAACTGCTAACTGTTGCTCTCTAAGGCCTGACCAAACTCCTGGCCTTGTGGTCACATAATCTCCTAACATCTCCTCCCAAGTGCTAATTGGCACCTCAAGTCCACTGTGACTAAAATATAACTTTTTTTTTTTTAAGTTTTCTGATTTTGGTGGGGTACATTTTAATGCGTTTCATCATGATATTTTCATACATGTATAAATGTTTATTCACTCCCCTTCTCTTATCCCTTCTCTCAATGGTGCCCTTCTTCTCGGAGAGTCCCCCTTCTACTTTCATGTACTTTTTCAAAAAAAAATCTAGATTCTACATATAAGAAAAGACACGTGATACTTGTCTTTCTGAATCTAGCTTATTTTGCTTAACCTGATGATCGCCAGGGTTGGTTTTTATTTTTTTCATTCATTTTTCTGCAAGTGACATAATTTTGTTCTTCTTTATGGTTGAATAATACTTTATCTTGTTTATCTACCACATTTTCTCTATCCACTCATTCATTGGTGGGCACCTGGGTGGATTCCATATGTCAGTTCTGGTGCATAAGTTTGCAAAATACATGGTGTCACCATGGTACGCTGACTTAGATTCCGTCAGATGTATACCCAGGAGTGGCACAGCTGAATCATACGGTATAAAACATGACCCTTCATTTTCACTTGTGCTCACTCCATTACACTTTCCACTCCCTGGCTATTCCCACCCCACCTCACTATAAGGCACAGCCCTCCAGTGAGTGGTTAGTGGAGTCACCTACGCTTCTCTCACTACATCCCCACAGTGAGGCCACCTTTCAAGTACCATCAGAACTTTAAGATCTGTCCTTACCCCACCCTCCCTCCATCTCCTTCTCCATCCAAGAATATGCAGTAGCCTCCTATGTCCTCTTAGCTTTGTGCCTGTTACATCCTTTCTCTCAAGTGCAGCTTGGTCATGATTTGGAACCTTTTCACTGGCTCATCTCTCTGCCTGAAGCCAGCCAACCCAGGACTGACCTTATCTTGTCCTTCAGGGCTGAGAAATTCCCCACATGGAAAATGCCTCCCTGACTACTTCATCAGAAGGAGCCCCTGGGCCACTACCACATCACCATTTCATTCTCCATACCCTTTATCATAACCTGAAATTGCTACCCAGTTGTCCCTAGGTATCCATGTGGGATTGGTTCCAGGGACCTCCATGAATACCAAAATCCACAGATGCTCAAGTTTCTTGGATAACCTAGTGTAGCATTTGCATATAATCTACATACACCCTCTCATACTTTAAATCACCTCTAGATTTCCAATAATCCCTAATGCAAATGCTATGCAAATTGTTGTTACCCTATATTAATTAGGGAATAACAACAAGAAAAGTCTGTATGTGTTCATACAGACACAATATTTTTTTTCTGAATGTTTTCAACCTCTTGACTTTACAGATTTAGAACCTGCAGATAAGGAGTGCCAAGTGGATACACATTTGCTCATCTGCTACAAACACATGTCATGGTGGGAGACACCCAGTCTCCTCTGACACAGGAGGAACTGCTCAGTCAGTATTGTGGGTGAAGGGCGGGCTAGCACATCCTTCCAAGCCATGTCCTGATGTGGTATGGAGCGGGTCATTGCAGACCCTCGTTGCCACTTCCACCCATCTCTGCCCCTGACCAAGACCCCTTCACAGTCACTCTGAGGGAAAGCAGTGCTGTAGGCTTCCATCTTCCCTGTCACATCTCTCCATGTAAGAAACTGAGCTTTGGAGGGCTCTGTACTCTGAAGAGGGTTTCTGCCCTCTTAACTCCAGTCCCACAATTTCCCTCCTGCTTCCTGCTTAGGGAGAGTCTAAATTCTAGAGTATTTTCTTAACAACTACAAGGCTGGGGGGAAAGGGGAAAATCTGGCATAATGAACTGTGCTTTGTACATTTAGAGCTGGAGAAATTTCTTCAAGTAAATAAAAAAGTCCCAGCAAGTCCAGGCTTGGCGACTTCCTCAGTGAGTGAACTATTATTATGTGGTTTAAGCTTTCTAAATGCCTTCCTGGGAAAGAACCTGGCTGCTCCCCAACTCCACCCCATCCCCATTAGCTGGTCTCAGCAGGGGCCCCCTTGTGCCCATCTCAAGTTCGTTCTGAGCATCCATGCAGTCATGGGGCCTTGACCAACATGGACTAGGCACCCAGAATTGCTAAGCCCTTTTCCTTACAATGCTCTCTAACGAAGAAACACTGTTTCATAGCAAAGCCTTCCTTTTCTCTTGCTTTCAACAAGCTATTCATGTTTTTCTCCTTTGTTGTAAAGGCTCTGTTTGGAGTTCTTTGGGCTTTGTGATTTTATTTAAAAAAAACCAAAAACCAAAATCTTATTCATAATTTTGAGGTTTCTATGAACCTGGCTTCTATGGAGTTTATGTTCTTCTGGAAGCTTTACTATGTACGCCAATAACTGACATATTAGATAGTTAAATTGCCTTAGAAAAAAGAGCATCAGAATGTTAATTCTGTGGAAATACCTGGTACTAATTGCAAGCATGTCCTAACTAATCGTCTAAATGCATCCACGGGGCTCCTCCTCAAAAATTCTTTACTAGCATTACTGCATAGACTTGAAAGTAATAAAAACACATTACCTCAAAGGAATTCTACAACAAGCCCTCATTTATCCAGAAATCACTTAATGTGATGCCCTCATGTATCTGGAATGCAGTCAAAACCCTCCAAAGCTTAGAATAGCCACCACGGAGGCCACACACCCATGCCTCCAAGTCCAAGCATGATGCTCTTCAAAATCCACTGGCTGCCCCTTGCACTTAGCTCAGACGCATTTGAGTAGAAGTAGCTGTTAAGATTCCCAGCCCACATCTGTGGAGAAGAGATCAGGGAGGGCAGAGCACAAGAGGCAGGCCCAAGGCAAGATCATCACCAATAAGGAGGAGCAGGAGGAAGCTGCACGCACGCCAGAGCACACATCACTGCGTGGTTGCATGCTGATGGCTTCTCACACATGTCAGCAAAATGCCATTCCAACCTGGATGCTCAGATTTTCTTTTCTTTTTTTCCTTTTTCTTTTATTATTCATATGTGCATACAAGGCTTGGTTCATTTCTCCCCCCTGCCCCCACCCCCTCCCTTACCACCCACTCCGCCTCTCCCTCTCCGTCCCCCTCAATACCCAGCAGAAACTATTTTGCCCTTATCTCTAATTTTGTTGAAGAGAGAGTATAAGCAATAATAGGAAGGAACAAGGGTTTTTGCTGGTTGAGATAAG